AAAAATAAGTTTGCTTCCGGTAGGTCTAAGGGATTCTTTGAAACCTAGCCCTTCTTCATTAGTTGAGATATTTGGTTTATCTTTAAATTCATTATTGGCTGGCTCCTTGATAGTTAGCTCGGGTGGAATGTTGTCCATAGAAGCATGCGGAGCTTTCAATTACACTGAATTTGCTGACGCGACTTAAAAGTAATGGGCACCAAAGTTTAATCTGTCCGTAAACTTGTAGCTTCATGTATAGCATAGTCATTGATTTTTTGATATTTTACTCTAAACGATTCTTTACATTCCATGCATTTAATGCTTAAAACATTTTTCCCATATCTAATACTTTCTATTTCTTTTTTTCAGCAAATACATCTTGCTTCCTCGGATCAAGTTGGAAAGTTTCACGAATTAATGCGCATTGTTACATGCATCGTTGTACATACCTTTGGTCAGTACGACCTTATCCTGACTTAGTTAAAACAAATGTATTCTTCACCTTTTATCTGCATATATGTCTGGCGTCTCTTTATTAAATGTTTCGTGTTTATGTGTAGAGAAGCATACGCTTTAACTTAGTTGAATAACTCAATTAGCATCTGTTCGGTATCGCTCAAGGCAGTGCGATGTAGTGATTAATGTGTTGATGTCATACACTGCACTTTCATGGTTAGTCCCACTGGGGGTGCTAATGAGATCTAGGCAAGGCCGAAACTGGATGGAGTATCTTTTGGCAAGCAAGGCTATGTTAACTTTAATGCAAATTTAGCTACTTTTCACTTATTTTAAACGAAATATGGTGAATACATATCATGCATGTCATCTTTGGGTAATCTCGAAAACCTACTTATAAACTAACTTAAGGGGACTTTTATTTCTCATAAAAGTTCACGAAGAATATATTTAAATATAGACCTCGGTTGATGCAGATGCTAAGGAATGGTTCGTGTTGGGGACCTGAGCTAGAGATCCGGAAAAGTTCAATCGCATAGATTCGCCATACATTCTTGGAAAGGAGCTTCTCTTCTACAGTGGTTAAGCCCCTACCTGTTTATTATTCTTATGGGCATTGCCATGACAGAAAACGTGCAGTGTCAGAGGAAGTGAAATGTGGTCACAAGGACAACCTACATTGGCCACCACGAACACTCATTCCGTCAAAATGCAGTCGACAATTACACGGGGGACGTGGTAGTCCATGGGAGAATTTATAAGTCGCTGACTTTAAATTGAGGCCAAACCCAGACAAATAATATTTTATCGTAATCGGCCCATAAAAACGATATCCACACACTATTAACGAGAATATAGAGAATAATAACGACCCACCAGCGGGTAAGGTTGACAAATTGGTTCGCTTAGGAGTCAATCGCATACAATGCAGCAACTGTGAGCAAAAGTATATTGGTGGAACAGGAAGAAGAATCAGGGGACGTCAAAGACTCCAGAAACATGGATATTGAACGAGCTGAAATAGCGGATGATACATAGGGTCGATTGGAAATTGAAAGAATGGTTGGGTGAGTGCTGTGAAAATTATGGCAATGAAGATTTGATACTAGGATATACGATGGGTGAATGCAACTGGACAAAAAGAGAGACCACTACTCTTTATTGGAGAATTGGCCACAAGCTTTACTTCACTCGTCTCTGATAAGCTGTAGTGTTCAATGGCTGTCAGCGAAGGGTCCTGCACTGTACCACATCCATATTCTAATACCAAAATTTAGCATGAATACTATGGAATCGAGACAATGTGCTTCATCATGGTCCCTCTGAAAATATGACCAAGCTGCGGAGTCGTGATCTAACCACTTACATACTACGAAAGGAATGCGAATATACTAAAGGTCAGACCCTCTTGGCCTTCACACCCTTCCATACGTATGATTTGAAAAAAATTTAAACACGCTTCTCTAGCTCCTATGCGCATCTCTACTCAATTTAGTTCCTTCTTCATTAACTAGGACGTCTAGAAAAGGTAAACTACCTTTATTTTCTTAGTCCATGGTGCGTCTAGTCTTTCCATGTATTTTATTCATCAACTCGCGAATAATTTTAAGGCTCTATTTAATGTGCTGCTAAACGGCAAGATATTTTTCCATATAGCGAACCAATAATTTAGATACCAAAAGTTCTTCTTGAATTAAGCGAATATCAACTTGAGCCATGTAGTTATTAGCTTATATTGATGACAAACACTAGTCCATGCTTGTTAGAAGTTGATACTGGCATACCTTTCATTTCGTTTGATAAGGAGGGCTAGTGGACTCGTAAATTCGCCTCACTGGAGACCGAAGGAGGGTTGCCTTGGACCCTTGACTTTTGACATTTGCGGAGCAGTTCTCGGACCATAAACTATTATTTACTAACAATCACCAAAACACTAAACTAAGAATGGTAGCCGGCTGAGAATCAATTTACTTACTGCATCCCATAATTTGGTTGGCTGCTTTGTGCCTGCCCTACCTCCATGCATTCGAGCGAAGCTAATACAAGAAAGGGAGCAGGTGTGGTCAATTGTTCTTTATTTAAATAAACTAACGTGTTATCCTGTAATCATGAGGCTTATTTTAGCTTTGTCGATTCGTGTGCATTTTGTGTATGCAATACTCACGAGTTAGTTGGCCATTTTGGGTCTGATATCAGTCTCCAAGCTACTCAAAGTCTTCTATTGGTGGTTCTTCCTGCTCCCTCTCTGTATCTCTTCAAATTCTGTCCAGCAGGCAGAGCTAATTCTTGCTTAGTTTCTACATTAATTCTTCATATTAAGGATATTTTTTCTGTTAATTTCATTCTAGTTCCTGATCTTCTGCTTAACTGTAAAGTCTCCATATCCGACAAAACTTTGGGTTTTAGACCACTTTATCTGTTGTACCGTAGTAATCATATATTCAGTCAGCTCCGATTTCTGAATCCACTGACAATGCCGACTAAACTTTCAGGTATGTTCCAGGTATACAGCGTGACGGTGGTAATTACCAAAGCCTCTATGGCAGAGAAATCCGGACATGCTTGTTAATCCATGTTTCTGACAGTACGACTAAATATTATTCTAATTAATTCCTATTGCATAATTGCTTGCTGAAATTTGATCAACTTTTACTCTTTCGTTACCAGATTTCCGTTTGCAATGCAGATTCCACCTTAATTTTTTAATGAATTTCTTTGGCTTTGGAAGCTGCTTTCAATAAACAATCAACAATAGCTTCAATGTCATTTGCGATAATAGCTTATGTGATACTCCTCATATTTAGCATGCTTTTCTACAATATGGCTATATTTTTATTCCTCCCTTGATCATTCCCTCTGTAGTCGGGAGAAAACGCATCATTTTTCAGTAAATTTATTTCCAAAACAAAGGAATAAATAATGGGTGCTGTTTGTCAATTCACGATATCAGCACAATTTATCTGAAGGTTTAGGATATAAATGAATCCAATAAAAGACAAATCGAAGACATCTGACCAATTGAAGGTAATTAACGTCGGATGAGCGGGAAAAAATGTCAATCTTACTTTTTTGAGTAGTAACTGGCCCTCAGCACTACCCGGGTTTGGGCTAGGAAGGATGCAGTAGGAGATACAAGAGACTATGGATGGGTGCATTATAGGTCGCAGTGACCTTATTATCTCTAGTTTTATTGAATAACGAAATACTAAATCAGGTTGTACGACAATCAAGGGGCTAATATCATTGATCAGTAACACGTCCGTGTTTGATAACACGACCAATTACATAATCATTCAATTATATATATATATATATATGTTCATGTTAAAAAAAGGGCCTGAATGAAGAAGCTGATGGCCTTCGTGGAA